TTGTTACTATGAAGCCGATCCATAATCCAAGATGGCCGCCAGCGGGGGACTTAGTTTAACATTGGACCATATGGGAAATACATACAAATGTCTTCTTTTAGAGAACCACTAAATGGAATGAAACCAAACATGGCATGAATGTTTCTTATGAGGTGCTGACCGAGTGTTGTTACTTTGAAGCCGATCCATAATCCAAGATGGCCGCCAGCAGGGGACTTAGTTTAACATGGGACCCTATGAGAAATACATACAAATGTCTTCTTTTAGAGAACCACTGAATGGAATGAAACCAAACATGGCATGAATGTTCCTTATGAGATGCTGACTGAGTGTTGTTACTTTGAAGCTGATCCATAATCCAAAATGGCCGCCAGCGGGGGACTTAGTTTAACATGGGACCCTATGGGAAATACATACAAACGTCTTCTTTTAGAGAACCACTGAATGGAATGAAACCAAACATGGCATGAATGTTCCTTATGAGGTGCTGACCAAGTGTTGTTACTATGAAGCCGATCCATAATCCAAGATGGCCGCCAGCGGGGGACTTAGTTTAACATAGGACCCTATTGGAAATACATACAAATGTCTTTTTTTAGAGAACCACTGAATGGAATTAATTCAAACATGACATGAATGTTCCTTATGAGGTGCTGACCAAGTGTTGTTACTTTGAAGCTGATCCATTATCCAAGATGGCCGCCAGCGGGGGACTTAGTTTAACATAGGACCCTATGGGAAATACATACAAATGACTTCTTTTAGAGAACCACTGAATGCAATGAAACCAAACATGGCATGAATGTTCTTTATGAGGTGCTGACCAAGTTTTTTTTACTATGAAGCCGATCCATAATCTAAGATGGCCGCCAGCGGAGGACTAAGTTTAACATAGGACCCTATGAGAAATACATACAAATGTTTTCTTTTAGAAAACCATTGAATGGAATGAAACCAAACATGGCATGCATGTTCCTTTTGAGGTGCTGACCAAGTGTTGTTAATTTGAAGCTGATCCTTCATCCACGATGGCCGCAAGATGGGGACAATGTTTAACAAAGGACCCTATGGACAATACATACAAATGTCTTCTTTTAGAGAACCACATACTGAATGGATTGAAACCAATCATGGCATGAATGTTCCTTATGAGGTGCTGACTAAGTTTTGTTACTTTGAAGCTGATCCTTCATCCATGATGGCCGCCAATGGGGGGACTTCCTTTAACATAAGACCCTATGGGAAATACATACAAATGCTTCTTCTAGAGGTGCACTGAATGGAATGAAACCAAAACATGGCATAAATGTTTCTTATGAGGTGCTGATGAAGTGTTGCTACTTTGTTGCTGATTTACTGTTCAAGATGGCCACCAGAATTTTTTATTAAATTACAGGACCAAAATTAAACCAAATTTGGCCTCACTCATTATTAGGGTATCTGTTATGATATATTTTTACATGATTTCCAAAACCAAAGTAGAATCAGGTGAGCGACACAGGCTCTGGAGAGCCTCTAGTTAACTTGCGCAGTTGCGGCTGTCATATTATTTACGAGGGATATCATGCATACGGAAAAGTGGTCAGTGAATCTGAGTGGAAGATAATTTTTCAGAAGCCGTACTCTTCCTGACTTTTTACATTAAAACATACGATGTTTCACTAGAACAAGAATATGAATACAGGTTTTATACTAAAAACTAACCATTTAGTTAAAAAAACACATGTTTAACTTTTTTTTCAACAACTCGTTTCATATTACTTTAAATTCAAGTATTAAAAACTTAAATTGTCATCATATCCGACAGTTGCTTGTTTTGTTTTTTATACATAATACTAACATGACTAATTCATGATAGGTATAGAATTTATATCATTTTATGAGAGCTGCAAATGTATTGCTATGGAAAAAAATATAAAAAGCAACAAAATTAGTGGTCCTAAATGTTATTGTAATTTTAAAATATTGTTTTACCATACTCCCAAACAGCAAAACATAACAAAAATGTTTGAAACACGCGTAAGTGTCTTAAGTTTCCATAGTAACGACGCAGAATAAGTGTGGACATTTCTCTGCAATATGCATGTTCACCAATACAGTTGTTTGTCAAATTCTGTTTTTCACGATCTTTTATAAGAGTAGTACTAAGGTCTGATATAACGGCATTATTCTTGGAGTATTTTCAATATTATTATTTAATGTGATCCATGCAAGCGGTTTGTTATTTCTGTTTGCTATAGTCCCTTTTCAAACATCTTATCCATACTTATAAACCATAGGTTTAATTTCAACCATTTGAGTTAATAGCTGCCTCTGAATTAAATATGTTTAAGAAATCTTGCTATTGTTTCCATGGAAATCAAAACAAAATGTTTGTGCTTTATAGTTAAAACAGATCAGAATATCATATTCATTAGATGTGGAGGAGATGAACAAAGGAAACAGATTTGCTTAAAACCCATGTCCCTTATATAAGTAAGAAGATGTTGTATGAGTGCCAATGAGAGAACTCTCCATCCAAGTCACAATGTATTTTAAGTTAACAATCATTTGTCAAAGTACGGCCTTTGGTAAATTTCCCCCAAAAAGATTTAAGCGTTGCACGTAATAGAAATTTAATTGGAAATTGATGTTATATTTTGTATTTTATAACCATGTCGGTTTTTTTTCTAAATCAAAACTGTATAAACGAACTATTGGATATAGTGGCTTTATACTAAGAATATATAAATGATTTTATTATCTGAACTTTTACATACATATAAAAAAAAATTTAAAGTAAAGGTACAGAATTCAAATCAAAAACATAAAGAACACAAACGAAATAAGCAGACAACAACTAAGCAAACGGACCCGCTCGTAAAAGAAAGTAATAACAAAATGCACGGAAGTAGGATATATGAATACCGAACCAACTCTTATCCAACAGCGAACATAAGACGAAACAAAATAGGCAACAGAAACATCATAACTAAATACATAAATGATGGATAAATCAATACCAAGACACGTCGTATATTAATGCGAATTCACACTCGGCAAAGCAGTCATATTCGGAAATAAGTCACGTTCGGTACTAAGCAGAGCAGACGACTAAAATGGTAAACGACGATCTAAGACGTGGTAAAATAATCGTTTGTTAATTTAGACATAGACACATCGTATAGGTCAGCCAATAGACTACTTTCGCGGTGCGATTCCGTCAAAAACATCTTTAGTGCGTTTAGGGGCATTGTCACTTCCGTTTCAATGTTGGGCGACTGGCTGGAAAAAATATGCTATTTTGCACGAAATATTCTGCAAATTTAAATCTCAGCAGCGATAATTAGCACTGCAATCATCAGGGAATTAGGATAAAGTACTAACGGAGCAATAATTATTTCTAGATCATCCTGCTTAACAACAATCACGGAGACGCTTGATGGACTTAAATACTGCTTGAATACAGTCGTGTACCCACGATCTGGTAAATAACATCATAAAGGTGCAGAAAATAGACAGAACCTTTCCGGTGATGGATGAAGTCGAAAGTGGTCTATTCGTGATGGTGACCATTAAATTTACTGAGTGTCATTTTTAATCTTTCCTTCTCATAACTCTGTTGGAGGAGTTTCTGCGTAAGGAGCACACTTCTGTATATGACGTCCGTAAAGTGTGAACATGCACGAGCATAACGTATCAATTGCGATATTGTAACACCATACGACGGGGCATAAGGTATGTTACTGCTGAGAAATGGGAAATGTATTATTCAATCGGCGATTCCCGCCTGGGTCTCCCTGTTCTAAACAATAACAATGGCTGACTACGAGTGTAAAGATTTTGCCGACATTTGAAAATGTGTTCAGAAATTACATGTATATATCAACACTGAAGTAGAAAAACTAAAAGTAAAGCAAGAACAGATTGATGATCGAGTTAAAATACTTGAAAACCAGACCGAGTTTGCCCTAACTTAGAGGCACAAATAGCCGAGGAGGCAAATGAACGTCTTAAATTGAAGGTATGGGGGAGGAAATGGAATTTAATTATCCGTGGGCTCGAGGGAACTGTTGGTGAATCCTCAAAGGTCACCCAAAACATAGTCCGAATATGGCTGAATAATGATAAAAGGGGGCCTGGGATTGCTGCTGCGCAGGTGAAAAGTATGCTATTTACAGCAGTTCGTAGATTGCCAAATTGTCCTGAACAGAAACGCAATATCATCCTCAGGCTATCAAACTTGATAGATCGAGATGATATCCTTACTGCTGCCACAAAGCTGCCTAGGAGGTGCGGATACAGCGTGGTCCCGGACCTCCCACCTTCACTTGCAGTTCGTCGCGGTGAACTTCTGGCAGAAAGAAGCAAGATGTTCAGTGAGGAGAAAAAAAATGCAGATTAGTATATTTGAAAGAGCCACCTTTCGTCCAACTCGTAAAGAAAAGTTCCTAAACATTGTGCGTTCAGTCCAGAGATCGCTGTGAAAATCGAATTATTTTCGCTTTCAAGATTTATGTTACATTTTTTCTCCTCCTTTTTTGTTAGCTTGTTTATATATTTTTTTGAATGTATATTTTCTCGTAACTCTATCGCGTATTTCGTCAGATAAAATTTTATATGACACTTTTTGTGTTATTCGTCAGTTCTCCTCTCATTATTAACTTTTCTTAACGTGAATAGTGGGTGTGACAGTTGTATATTCCTGTAGGCGGAGTCTTGTATATCCATAATGTAAACATTTGGATACTCGGAATCTCTCTATAGTTTTGTTCTGCTACAATCATAACACAATGGAAGCCTCCGTGAAAAAACACATGTTATTATTTAGTTATTAGCCTCGTCACATATGTGCTGTTTACAGGTATAAAAAGTAAGAACAGGGTTTACCCTAACAACCTTAGTCCTACACATGCATCTGTTTATTTTTATCAAATTTCATTCCCCTTATTTGTACAATAAGTGTGTGCTATATTTATATGGTCTGTTAAATACTATATAGAAAATATCTATTCTTTTAGATCCAATCAGAGTGCGGATAAAACATAATTTAGAATTACAAGGTATGGTCTTCATTTATTTACGCGTTATGCCTCCAATTTTGGAGTGTGCTGCCGAACCATTATAGTTGAGTAACTAGAAACATTGAGAACTTTCTCAAAATTAATTCCTACATTGAATGGCAGCTTAGATCAAAGTAATGCATGCTGATAGCTTTGGTGCTTAATTGCATTATTTATCTTATGTTATCATGTTGACTAAAATGCTGATCTGTTTACTGCTTTATTTTTTTGCCGCTTTAGTTTAAGCTTTATTTTTGTGATAGCATGTTGCTTGATATGTTTATTTGCTTGCTGCATATTATGCATATGATTTATTTATTTATTTATTTATATTTATGCCCCCGCTGAAGGGGAGGAAGCATTAATTTTACCCTTGTCCGTATGTACGTACGTCCGTCCGTCCTACCGTCCGTCCGTACGTCCCAAAGTTGGTTTCCGTTCTCTAACTTCAGTTTGCCTCAACCAAATCTTATGAAACTTATACACAATATATCACTATAACCGTTCTAGAGTAATGCTCCTTTACAAATGAAAAAAATGCTGATTTTTTTAGTTTCCGTTCTCTAACTTTAGTTTGCCTCAACAAACTGCAATGAAACTTATACACAATGCTTATTACCACAAAATACAAATCAAGTTTCAATTCTGGGGGCGTCACTTTAACCGTTCTAGAGTTATGCCCCTTCACAAATAGAAAAATTGCTAAATTTTTCGTTTCCATTCTCTTACTTTAGTTTGCCTCAACCAAATGCTATGAAACTTATACACAATGCTTATTACCACAAAATACAGATCAAGTTTGAATTTTGGGGTTGTCCCTAAATTTTCTAGAGTTATGTCCCTTTACAAATGGAAAAATAGCTGAATTTGTGTTTCCGTTCTCTAAATTAAGTTTGCATCAACCAAATGTTATGAATCTTATACACAATGCTTATTACCACAAAACTCAGATCAAGTCCAAATTTGGGTAGGGTCAATTTACTGTTCTTCATTTATGTCCCTATATAAATGGATATGAAATGCAAGCAGGGCCATCATCTGTGTCCCATGGACACATTTCCCATTTATTTTTTGGGGTTGTTACTCATGCATGTGCAGTAGTAAAGGTTTGTATACATGTGTGTATTGTCCATGTTTTTATATGTATTGTTTTGTCAAAAATTCACTGTATAGTTATAAGTTATTAGACTCTATGTTGCACCCACAATATTTGGGATTCAAGGGAATTGTATACATTAATTAATTTTGGTTAGAGTTTTCTACGGTTTATGAGGAGAACATGATTTATTTGCAGATCTGTTATCAAAATTCTTACTATACCAGGACCATAACAAATCAACAAATTTAAACAACTTATTCATGGTCTTGCAAATTTGGTTACTACTTAGAATGACCCGGAAAGGGGGGATTAAAAAGGGAGGGAATTCAAAAGGGTGGGGAAATATCGTTTTGTAAATCCTGAATTGCTACCAAGCTCAGTGTGATCTTATTTACTTAATAAATTTTTTACAGATGTCTAAAGGTATGATATTATTTATTTGTCAGTATGTTAAAAAAAAATCATGAATGACATACCATTATAGTATACTGAAAACATTTGACAGTTGGATAGAATTACATAATACATCTATTTTGAACATTTTGATTAATGACTTGTTTGAAAATAGGTGCTCTTAACTGTAGGGGTCTTTCAGAGGAGGTGAAGGAAAGAGATTTTGTTTCAAGATATAGGAAAAAATATGATATAATTATATAAACAGATACACATTGTACTAAAGAAAAAGGAAAAACAGGGGGTACATGAGTGGGGGTTTAAGGCATTCTTTAGTTCTGGCTCCAGCCGCTCAAGAGGGGTAGCAATCTTAATAAAAAATAGTTTTACATTTATTATTCATCAAGAAAAAAAAGGATCAGAAAGGCAACTTTATCATTCTAGATATGACCATTCAAGATTATTGACAGTCTCTTGTTGCAATATATGGTCCCAATGGGGACCCTCCAACTTTTTTTGAAAATATAAAAAGTCTAGTATCTGGTATAAAAAATAGCTCCATAATTATGGTTGAAAACTGGAATGTGGTGCAAGACTTCGATAAGGACACCTTAAACTATAGTGCTAAAAACAATATAAGAGCACATGATAAAATTGTAGATATGATAGAGTCCCTGGACCTTACTGATATATGGCGAGCTTTAAATCCGGATACTAAAAGATTTACATGGCGCGGACCTGGGCTTAAGCAAAGCCGTTTGGATTACTTTTTGATTTCTTCTGACCTTGAACCATTTGTAAAAAATGTAGACATGGATATAAGTTATAGGTCTGATCATTCTCCAGTGTATCTGGCCTTACAGTTTTACAATCAAATTAAAGGGAAAGGCTCATGGAAATTTAATATTAGCTTACTACATGATATGGTCTATGTAACTGAAGTACAAAATTGCATAAGGGAAACTATAAATCAATACTCTCTGCCACATCTTCTTTTTTATATTGTTCAACACAGAGAGACAATAGTAGCAGGTATAATGGCAAGAGCAAAGGCAAAATGGGTAGCAGAAGGTGAAAAATGTACGAACTATTTTTGTAATCTTGAAAAAAGAAATTATAATGAGAAAATAATTCCAAAATTAATTAAGGATAATGGAGAGGAAATTCTTAATCAAGGTGAAATTTTAGAAGAACAAAATCATTTTATGAAAAATTGTACTCCTCAACAAATCCTTGTCTTCATCAAAAACATAAAAATCTATTTTTTGATGAAAATAATCCTTTTATCCGCAAACTTTCTGATGAACAGAGGGTACAGGCAGAGGGTAATTTTAATGCTAATGAATGCTTAAAAACATTGAAAAATATGAAAAATGGTAAATCTCCAGGGATGGATGGATTTACAACTGAATTTTATAAATTCTTTTAGATAGACCTCAATGAATTTATTATAAAATCTTTTAATTATAGCTTAGAAACTGGAACTTTATCTGTTAGTCAGAAACAAGGAGTAATAACCTGCATTCCAAAAGAGTGTAAATCCAAATTTCAATTAAAAACTTATTTTTGACATTATGGAAAAAGCAGAAGATGATAATCTTCCAGGTCTCTTACTTTTATTAGACTTTGAGAAAGCTTTTGATACACTTGAATGGTCATTTATAGACTTGGCTCTGTCTTTTTTAGGATTTGGTCCTATTTTTTGTAAATGGGTCAAGACCTTATATTCAGAATCTCAGAGCTGTATTCAGAACTTATGAGCGCTGCACTTAAGAATAACCCGGAGATAAATGGTATGAAAATAAATGATTCAGAATATCTACTAACCCAGTATGCAGATGACTCATGTCTTTTATAAGACGAGAACGAGCAATCTTTAGAAAAATGCTTATATACTTTAGAAAAATTCTCTGAGTGTGCTGGACTAAGGGCTAATTTTGATAAAACTGAAGCCATATGGATTGGGTCAAAGATTCACTCAAGGGATAAACTAACTACAAGAAATTTTAACTGAAACTCATCAGGAAAACTTAAACTTTTAGGAATAAAATTTGATCTGTTCAGTGAAAATAAAACGCTTGTAAATTTTATGAAAAAAAAATAAAAAAAATACAGAGCTTACTTAATTCCTTGGTATATAGAGATTTAACATATATGGGAAAGATCACTGTTATTAAATTATTAGCTCTACATATTCTAATTCAGTCATTGACAGTTTTGCCAAACCAACCGGTTGATTAAATAAAAGAAATTCAAAATATTTTTTTAGTTTCTTGTGGTCAGGAAAACCAAATAAGTTGAAAAGAAAAGTTACGATAGGGTAATATGAAAAAGGGGGGTTGAAAATGCCAGATATAAGATCCTTTTGTTATTCACTAAAGATGACATGGATAAGTAAACTTTTAGACCCCTTGAAAAAAAAAGTAAAATCACAAAAATACTGAACTCCGAGGAAAATTCAAAACGGAAAGTCCCTAATCAAATGGCAAAATCAAAAGCTCAAACACATCAAAACTGTCATATTCCTGAATATATCCCCATGGAAAACACTGTCAATAGATCAATACAACAGATTCGGAGCAGACAAAGTATGGTTGATGACCCCTGATGGTACAATGTATCCAAAAGATTTCCACAAATTTTAATAATTTTTGGAAAGATATTTTTACTAAACTGGAATATCCTAAACACTGTCACTAATGACACTGCTGAAGGGATCATGAAACAATCCGTATGGCTAAACAAGAGTTTGACAATAAATAATAAAACTGTCTTTTACCAGAGGAGGGTAAAATCAGGAGTTTTCTTTGTAGGTGATTTACTTGATGAAAACAGTGAACTTTTGACTTTACAGGAATTCTGCAGAAAATATAATCTTAATATTAATTTCCTGGAATACCATTCTATACTTCATATGATACCAAAAGCCTGGAAAGATCTAATTACTACTTCAGAGAAAATTATGCACATATCTAATGATAAATTTGAATTTATTAAAAAAAATAAAAAGTCATGTCAATTCTTTTATAAAAAATTCTTGTCAAAGTATACAGAACGTCCTACAAAACAAGAAGACAAAATGTGTAAAGAACTAAGCACTCATATAGAAAATTGGGAGTTAATTTATAGTTTACCCTTTTGTTGCACTAAAACAACAAATTTAGTATGTTCCAGTTTAAGATTTTGCATAGAACTCTCACTCCAAATGCATTATTGCAGAAATATGGGTCATAAGAAACTAACTTATGTAGTTTCTGTAATGAAACTAAAGAAACTATAAGTCACTTTTTCTGGGAATGTACCCAAGTTAGAAGTTTATGGTTAGAAATTGCAGCACTTTTCAAGTTAAAAATAATCTAACTTTAATATTTAATGCGGAAAATATTGTTCTTGGGTCAGAGTATTGGGATGTTTTCCTAAACTTATTCACTATTCTGATGAAGTATTACATTTATACATGTCGCTTTAACACTTCATTACCGACTCTTACAGGTGCGATAGCTATGATTAAAAATTCCTACCAAATAGAAAAATTATCTACCTTCTTTTACAGATCCCCTAAAGCAAGAGAGAAGTTTGGTAATAAATGGGAATTGATTAAAAACTAAGTTTACATGTGAGGAGAGATCTCTCTTTTTTGTACTCACTTAAGGCTTTATAATAATTCATGTAGAATTAATAATATGTTGATGCACATCATAACTTGACAGTGATTTAATAAATAAGAGTGTAAATAGACAGTGCTTTAATTTATAGTGTTTACTGTAGTATGTTATTGTTTGTTTATTTTCCAGCTATTTTATTTGTAATAGGGTAAAAGACTAAAACCGATCAGTTGATTCTTTTTAAATAATAAAATGAAGAGCAGATTCACAAAAACCGTCCACGTCAAGGGAAAGTCTTGCAGAGATTACTTTAGCCGTGTCTGGCACAACGTTTTGGAATTTGCGGTCCCTAATGCTCTTCAACTTAACACTTATTTGGCTTTCTAACTATTAATCTGAGCGTCACTGATGAGTCTTATGTAAACGCGTGTCTAGAGTATCAAATTATAAGCTAGGTACTTTTGATAACTATTGTGCATATAATTGCACATATGATCCTATCATGCTTTAATGATATTTTTTTAACTCATTCTCATTGAAAATGTTTGAATAAAAAACACATACTTTTTTCAACTTTTTTTTATGGTATTTAATTTAAAAAATTTAAAAATCATCCATTAATAAAATTCCATCTTGAATACAACATTATAAACACTAGACAATTTTACATTTTACTATGATTCTAAAGATATCATAATTCTTTGTCTTCATAACTCACAGAAAATGATAAAAAGTGTATGCATAATTATTAATTATGAAATTCTTATTATTCCTTTAGTATTGTTTTTAGTTGAATGGATGTTGATCTCGTCCATTTCTTAAAGATGACTTCATGAAAAAGCCTTATTGTAATATGAAACAACAGTTAACTTCAAAATTGTGAATAGTTTCTGCTGACTAATGTTGACAACACGATCACAATGTTGTTATTATTTTTTGACAAAGTGATGACATTGTGATCATTTTTGTCTTAGATGATTACGTTTTGAGTTAATAGGATATGATTATTATGTCTTTATATTTCACCTACTAGGTAATAATGATTTTTTTATTATTCATTAAAATCTGATTACAATATACCTTATACAGCACAGTGTAGACGACAGAAGGGGCCCTGTGTTCACACTGATCATAATGCCCAGGGATAAACATTGGACCCTATGAATATATCTTTTTCTAACGGTTGTTCACATGAATGAATTCATTACAAAAAATAGCAATAATAGCTCCAACTAATAGCATTCAATAATAGTCATAATCCAAATAAATTTTATGATCTTATACATTTCACCCTTAACAATGATGATTTGATAACTTTATTACTTAGGATATTTCAAGCAAGAACCTTTTGGTGGTTATTTCAATGAGAAAGAACCTTTTGATGACCAGTTTTACAAGTTTTCTATGGATGGAAAAAAGGTGTATACATGTACAGACAACAGCATAGTTGTGATAGATCTGGAAACTGGAAGCGGTCAACAACATAATTTGCCCCATAACGATGTTATCAGTTGCTGTGTTTCAAATGACATGACAACATTCTTAACTGTTTCTGGTGATACATTTCTTAGAATATGGAATATCTCCAAGGCAACATTTCCAGAAGAAAATCAATTAGATATTGGTAAATCAATTGAGTAAGTTTTGTTAAATAATGAAGTAGTTTAGAAGAGGAGCTTTATCATTTTTATGGTTATTGCCGTGTCTGACCATCCTATTTCAGGTAAAAGTGTTTTCGTTTATGAAAGGTTTTCATTTCATATTAAAACTAATATATAAAATCAAAACCATGTCGTATAAATGACAATGAGACAACTCTTCATCCAAGACCAGCGGTAGTAAATATAAGCAATTATAGGTTACAAACGGCCTTCAACGTGAAGACTTGAGTCGCATAGCAAAGTGAGCTATAAATGGCCCAAAATTATTAGTGTAAATCAATTAGACGTTCGTTCATCTAACTGTCTGTTATTCCAACAAATATTACCATCATAAATTTCACAGCAAACTACTGAATGGTATTCCTTTATATTTGGTCAGCAGTTGAAAAGTGACGAGTTGTAACGTGTAGGCATTTTCAGACCAGTCAGACACCTACTTTCTGTTTGCTGATTCTATGATTTTTTTTAATATCTTGAATGAACCTTAATTTTTCGTCAATCTTTTTGCAAGTAATAATGAACAGATAGACTTTATGCTTGGTCATCAGCTTGACAAACATGAGTTGTACTATAATGTGTATGCACTTTTTGGAACTACTTTCTGTTTGCCGATATTTGGATTAACCGGTGGGGGTATGCTATTAGCACGAATATTGTTTAAATTGTTTTGACAAAACATTTGTCAGGTTTTTTTAAATGACAATCACTATTTATAGAAATAATTTGGCTGAAGAAGTCGTTTAAGATTTTATATCCCTTTCAGGAAACTGGTGTTCAGACCTTCGAGATAGACTTCATGATTTTTAGATAATTATCCCACATGTGTCGTGAGAGTAGAAATCTATGCAAATTCTTCTTTTTTTATTGTCTTTGTACAGTTTTATGTTATCATACTGGATGCTTTAGCTCTATAAAAACATTTATTATAAAAAAAAAATGTACAGGATACCATTTTTTCTAATAAGACTTAGTATTCCATAAAAAATAATGGTAAAAGATAGGTTTATGCAAAACATTACATAAATATTCGGTAAACAAGTATAGTTATTAATTCTGTAATTCACAAAGCATAAACAAACTGGTCTGTTTCAGTGTTCACCCAGGGTTAAACATTCAATGTAGTTTGGGATGTGTTTTCTAAAGTGTGTTATAGAACGTGTTTGGTAAATAATATCATTATCAATATACAGGATGTAAATATGAGCAACAGTAGTATACCGCTGTTCAATAGTAATAAGTCGATTAAGAGAAAACTAATTCAGGTAGAAAACTTAGCAACCAGTGTAAACACAATCCTTTCAATTCTAAAAATAAGGAGTTATGCGATAGACAATAAAAAATGATAATAATAAAATATATTAATTTTGAAAGGTACTTCACGTTATTACCAAATGAAAGATATGCTCTCACATGTCTCAGCATGGCATCATTTGAAAAAAGAATAATTGTTGTTGATACAGTCGAGAAAAAAATTGTGTCCCAGGCAAAAACAGAGGTAAGATGTTTTATTAGATATGTTCTATTTTTCTTCACTTCACTGGGATGTCTCTTTTGAGAAAAATCGGCATTAATGATGCTGTTTGTGTTGTCAAATATCGAAGAAAAATAAAACATGCTCAATTTTACTGCAAACTTTTGATTGAATGAAAACATACAAAATTGACAGTTTGCTTCTTATTTTAAGTTCGTAGTTTCTTTTATCACCATTAGGATTGCAGAGGGTCATTATATTTTCAGTCTGTCCATCTGTTTATTCATCGTTCCCAGATGAGGTTAAAGTTTTAGGTGAATGGAGTTTACGCTGAAGCTGTCTTCACGTCAATTTGTAACTGCATATATAGATTGCTCTTCCTAAATTGTATGCCAAATCAGGGTTTTGACCCCAATTTAAATCTTCACTGGATATTGAAATATAATGATGTCGAATAAATAAAGGCAACAGTAGTATACCGCTATTCGAAATTCATAAATCGATTGAGAAAACAAACTAAAACTGAAGGAAACACATCAAATATAAGAGGAGAACAACGACACAACAGAAACACAAAACTAAAATGCAACACACACAGAAACGAACTATAATATAACAATGGCCATTTTCCTGACTTGGTACAGGACATTTTAAGAAAAAATGGTGGGTTGAACCTGGTTTTGTGGCTAGCCAAACCTCCCGCTTTTATGGCAATGTTAAATATAACATAAAAATGACAAGATTACATGACAGGACTACAATACAATACAAATAAATGGGAGAACATACAGGACAGAGAAACACACAAATAATAGCTATCAAAAGGTACCAGGCTTATAATTTAATACGCCTAACGCGCGTTTCGTCTACATAAGACCCTCAGTGACGCTCAGATCAAAAAAGTTCGAAAGCCAAAACAAATACAAAGTTGAAGACCATTGAGGACCAAAAGTTCCAAAAAGTTGTGCCAAATACGGCTAAGGTTATATGCCTGGGATAAGAAAATCTTTAGTATTTAGAATAATTCATACTTTTGCAAACAGTAAATTTATAAAAATGACTATATAATAGATATACATGTTAACACCGACGTGGTGACTAACTACAGAATAAAAACGAATACGTAAAACAACCTAAATCAGCACATAAAAAAGGCACAGCCGAACAACGCATTGTATGTTAGCCAAAGAGATCGACGCACGATGTGACGTCACATATAAATTTCTATAAATTTCCAAAAAATAGGATAGAGTTCAAGATTAGGTTTATAATACTGATATAACATGTATTGATAACAATGAAAATTACAATATTTATTAATAGTTTATAATAGTTAATTCTTAGTTTGAAATGTTTGTTCAAGGAAGTGTATGATAAAGTTGAAAATAGTCACATCAACTTGAAACTTAGTACACATATCAAACATTTTATTTTCTTTCTAAAGGTAATGCTTAATAAGGATTTTAACCCAAATTCCATGGTTCACTGAACATGGATAATCATAGTCTGAGTAAAGCATTTTGTCTTGTGGACACATTATCTTGAATATATATATATATATATATATATATATATATATATACATGTTAAATCTTGCTTTGTTTTAAACCATGTTATGTGCCTTTTGGCTGAACACTGGGCTTAACAATCTGTTTTGATATAAATGAGTTCTTCCAAAGGCAAGGCCAATGTGTGCTGAGGCAGGTTTAAACCACCCACAATAAGTTTAGTCAAAGAAGTACAGGTCATTTTAAGCAAACTGGTCCATCAGTTTGTTGGTGGTTTTTTTTTTGCAAAGCTTAAACAAATGATGGGAAATTAGAATATCTGTGATCAGATTTACTTAATCATATTTACTATAGTCTCCCAAATGTCATGGTTAATGCTACGAGCATTTGCTTTGTTCACTATGTATTCTTAGAGTTGGTGAGATATGTCATTATTAGGTAGTCAAATCATGGCATAAAATAAAGTGTCAAGTTCCTAAATCTCAATATTCTTCTAGATAAGGGAATACATTACTAAATTTGGAATTCATATTTGACCTTTCAGGCAAGTTTAAAGAGAGCTCTGTTCGTAAGTGAAAGTAGTGCAGTAATGTGCTTTACTAAAGACCATACCAAAGACAATAAACCACTAGACCTTCATCTGATAGATATAATTTCAATGACAGAGAATCCGGTACAATGCCAAATGTTCAAAGATTGCTACAACATATTGAAAGTTAATTATGGAAAAGGTAATAAAGAAAAGCTGTCCTTAGAGTGATAATGTAGTTGAGAGTAGACAAGAAATTATACTGCCATTGATGTACTGTTTATTAGAGAGGGATATTCTGTTTATCATGTGTAAGAATATATAAGTCATCGACATAGCATGATCATATATGAAGCTTGACTTCAACATTTCAGACGCCCTGGTTTTAAGTTTCTTGGAGAAATGCGACAGAAATTTAATGGGACTGACTGACAGACGAGCAGAGGAAAAAACAGCGGTCAAACAGTTTACCCCCTTCTTTGAAAGAGGGTATAATAAAATACAACAGATGACAGGACATAGTAATAGCCATATAGTAATGTTTGTCTAATTTTCCCAGGAACTACAGATCAAGCCTTTCTGAAATTTAGAGTCTAGCTTCATAAAAGAGAGGCGAAATATACCAGAGAGACATTCAAACTCATAAGTCAAAAATGAAATGACAACACTATTGCTAAAAAAACACAGACCAACAGACAAACAATAGTACACAAAACACAACGTAGAAAACTAAAGACTGAGAAAAACGAACCCCACCAAAAACTTGGTGTGATCTCAGGTGTTGCGGAAGCGGAGGCAGATCCTGATCCACATGCGGCACCCGTCGTGTTGCTTATATTAGTAAAAACCCGGTAAGAAGTCTAATTTGGTAGGTCACATACTGGAAAAGGGACTTGATTGTAGTTACGACATCAGGAACATATCTGCTATCATCTGTGAAACGGACATTCCATAACGGTCAACCAAATTGTGATGGCGTCCGTAAAACTTACGAAGGAATGATTTCAACTTCAACACTTTGAACTCTTATTTTAATAGCTTCATTGTGAGCAGCAACCCTCTATCAAGGGAATTATGATAGGAAATACAAGCCCTGGAATATCGTACTCATTATTCATCTGACCATGCTATACCATGTGACATATTTTAAGATTCATCGTTCAACAACTCCCTGTTATAGGTTGCACTTTGTAAATACAGCTGTTTCTCAAACCACGCCCCTTTGGTGAGATATATAATATTCATAGATAATTAATTTTGTTAACGTACTGGTTCCCAGTTAGGATCTCTATGTTTGATCTCGTAGAGACATAACTTGGAAATGTTACCAGTAAATATGCATATGCATATCAGTCATATTGAAATCTGTGGAAATCCTAAAGTCAAGGTAGGGGGTACATAATTTTTGTGTTATTTTCAAACTTCATAGTAAAAGTGGTACAGTTTTAGCCGTAAACGTAGTTCCTATGGGAAATTGCATTGTGGATATTTACAGAAATGCAACTTATAAACAGAACACTTATATTTTCTTACACATAATAGCAATGTTGTAAATTTTTGTCACATATTATTTAAGAACTACAAATCAGGGCTTTCAGAAATTTAAATTGAAGCTTAATATGACTATTCTCTGCCAGCGTGATACGTTGTAAGATTCACCACTCAACAACTTATTGTCTAGTCGTGAACTTTAGAGGGAGTTTCGTAAGCATGTACTACTCCCCAATTTCATTTGTATCAGCAACAGGAAATTAGGGCTTCGTAAATGTAACAAGCTTCATATTGTTAGCTTTTCCATATGACACATTTTTCAGATCTGTAAATTATCTGCTTCCTGATTGCCACTAGAGTCCAAATGATATAAAAGAAAGCAACTACAAATTTTCATTACAGTGATGCATGTATACAAATGTGTCCTTGATTTTTTACCTGCGTCACAAAAGGGGAAATAAGCTGTTAATACCATTCCATTCTTTCATTCTATCCGTCCATCTGTCTAAAAGACAGGTATTAAACTTTTGTCAAGTATATCTGAGCCTCTATGATTAGGAATGCTTTTATGTTTGGTGTGGATCTTGATAATGGTGAGTTATAATGTACACTACATCAAAGATATTCTCCTCTGACACTACTAAACCAATTTTATCCAAACTTAGGCTGAATTATCCTTATGATATCAAGTATGAAGATTGTGTTTTATTTTCTGTTTCGTCCAAAAAACATGGCCGGTAAAATGCAGTTTTTGGCTAACATTTTAAAACTAAAGCATTTAAAGGAAAACTGACATGGAGGTAAAAGTGTTCATCAGGTCATGATTTTGACCAACGATTTTGGGGTCTTGCATACCCCTGAATTGTTAATTTCAAGGAAATTCGGCAGTTTTTGGTTATTATCTTGAATATTATTATAGGTAAAGATAAACTATAAACAGCAAAAAAGTTCCAAAAAGTACAATAAAAAAAAATAAGGTTATTCGACTAAAATTGTCAATTTACCCTAAATATGCTAAATGGAGTTATTGCCTAAAAATACAAAATAAAAGTCAAATGCAGTTTTTGAGCAAAACCGAAAAGGAAATAAAGAAAATATCAGGTCAAGTTCTATCTGCCTTGAAATTCTAAGACCAATTGGACAACCCATTGGTGGGTAACTGTCTTTGAATTGTTTTTTTTATAGCTCACCTGGCCAAAAAAGGCCAAGTGAGCTTTTCTCATCGTCCGTTGTCCGTCGTTAACTTTAAAAAAAATCATCTTCTGTGAAACTACTAGGCCAAATCTAACTAAACTTGGCCACAATCGTCATTTGGGAATATAGTTTAAAAAATGTGTCCGCTGATCCGGCCCGCCAACCAAGATTGGCGCCATGGCTAAAAATAGAACATAGGAGTAAAATGTAGGTTTTGGCTTATATCTCTGAAACTAAAGCATTTAGAGTAAATTTGATATGGGGACAAAATTGATCATCAGGTCAAGATCTATCTGCCCTGAAATTTACAGACGAATCAGACAACCCTTTGTTGGGTTGCTGCTTCTGAATTAATAATTTTAAAGAAATTATTAATTTGAATATTATTATAGAGAGAGATAAACTGTAAAAAGCAATAATGTACAGCAAAATGAGATTTACAAATAAGTTAACATGACCAAATCAAAATGGTCAATTGACCCTTTAAGGAGTGATTGCCCTTTATAGTCAATTTTTAACAATTTTTCGTAAATTTTTGTAATCTTTTACAAAAGTCTTCTCCTTCTAAACCACTGAGACAAATTTAACCAAACTTGGCTATAATCATCATAAGGGTATGTATGTAGTTTAAAAAATGTGTCCGATGACACTGCCTGCCAACCGACATAGCCGACATGGCTACTAATAGAACATAGGAGTAAAATTTTTTGGCTTTTATCTCTGAAACTAAAGCATTTAGAGCAAATCTGACAGGGGGTAAAAATGTTCTCCAAGTTTAGATCTATATGCCCTGAAATTTTCAGACGAATCAGACACCCGTTTTTGGGTTGTTGCCCCTGAATTGATTATTGTAAGATAATTTCGCAGTTTTTTGGGTTATTATCTTGAATATTATTATAGATGGAGATAAATTGTGAACAGCAATAATGTTCAGCAAAGTACGATCTACAAATAAGTCAAATATGATCAAAATTGCCAAATGACCCCTGAAGGAGTTATTGCCCTTTATAATCAATTTTTGTAATCTTTTACAAAAATCTTCTCCACTTAATCTACTAGTCCGAATAGAGTTAAAACTTAGCCACAATTTTCAGTAGGGTATCTTGGTTGAAAAATGTATCCGATTAACCTGTCATCCAACCAACATGGACGCCATCTCTAAAATAGAACATAGGGGTTTACTACAGTCTACAGAAATCTAGGGAAAATTGTATAAAAAAACAATTTCAAATGGTCACAACTTGAAAACTAATTTAAATGATGATAAGGGGTCTTCAGTAACTATTGTAAGACTACAATGTGATGACCTGACTGGGCCAAATTAAAAAACCCTCTGTTCTGATTGGGTGGTTGTGATGAGATTCTACGCCCAAATGAGGCAACGTTTTCCTTAAATGGTATCTCGATGAATGATTCAATCGTCGACTCCTTCCAGTGACGTCATTTCCGGTTATAACCTTATCGGGAGGGGGAGGGGGGAAAACCTAAAAGGGTAAAGGGGCGGGGTCTGCCCAAAATGGTTCAGCCACAACGCCACGGGTATTGGTGGCGGTTATAAATGATCACTCTATACTACTATTGCCCTTAAAAGATGAATTTTACCTTACGTCTTCGTTATTCGCAGAAACAGAGATGGATATAAACAATCAATGCATGTTTAAAAATGTATCAATATACTTTAAATATAAAAAAATGTATAATCATCAATTAAAGATATACACCAAGCAGTACAGGTGAGAGAATTCAGGTTTTTATGAGCCTCTTATTATATCTGCCATGCGGCCACTTTCTGCATGCCGATAGTTTTGAAAATCAACCAAACCTTGTACAGGGAAAAGATTTTCGTCAAGGTTTTCTTAATTTCTATAATAATGAACTATTTAATTTTGGTCTGAAGCTTTATTATGTTGAGTTATCACGTGTAAGCAATTCTTATATATGTGGTAAACCTGCTTCCTGTTTGCCGATAGTTTTACATTTAACCACACGATGTACAAGGGAAATATTTCGTCAAAGTTTTCTTGTCTTCTGTGAAAGGGTTTGATTTTATATTTGATCAGGAGTTCAGTTCAATGTTCAGTTGAAGTGTGTAAGCAATTTTTAATTCTGACGTGCTGCATCTTCCTGTTTGTTAATAGATTGTCGTATCGCTCAAAATGAACATGCATTTCAATCCTAGATCTACATCCAGTATTTACACAGCTCTCCAAATTATTGGGAAAAGTTAACTGCCCTTATTCCACTACAAATGTAGTTGCAAAATATGCAAACGGATATCTCGAGTCAATCACTATGCCTTTCATCATTATAACTATAATATACCTTTACCGTTCTTCGACTTTTTCAGGTGTTAGTTTTTCCATCTGTTGCAGCTTGTTGCCTGCAAAACACATTCATTAAATATTATTCTTGATGTCACTCAAATTGCATTAAAACCTAACAAAATCACAACAAGACATTGGCCTTTACCTCCCCTTGCTTCTGGCAGGGTAACCAGTGTTTACTTAAATGGGTTGTGTTTCGCATAAAGGTTTTGACATAAACATATACAAGAATGTAATACACGTTTTGTAAAATATCAAGGACTTCATTAAAAAGTCTAAAAAACAAATTAGTTTTAGTTGTAAGCTAAAGAATGAACTATAAACATGATAAAAACAAAGAAATCTTAAAACGAGTAATCCAATGCATGACTCAATTGTTGCTTAACTGTATTGACGATACACCGATATTTTGTACCTTTTTAAACATGTATCTTTATGAAATATTATTGATGTAGAGTTCTGTACTACAGGTAATAGTTAAATTTGCCTATTCGTTCATGATACCCCTATCTAAAGTCCAATTGCGTGAAAGGTAAAGCGCATAATAATACACAGACAACTAGATGAATGAAGTAATAATACATTTGTATAAAGTTAATGTACTTATTTTATCATATTACGTAACAAGTGTATTTATCTCCTACATTTACCTGTTCAAACAGGATTATAATAAGTATATTGCATCATGGCATGCAACTACATGTATGCTATTCTACATTCTGGAAATATTTCATTCAAATTGATTTATTGAATTGAAATTTGGTTTCAGAAGCAGTAAATTTAATACAGACAAGGTGATACTTTAATAGTAAATTTTTTATTTATGCCTCAAAAACTTTCAAACTACATATAAATGTATATGCGGTATGGGCTTTGCTCTTTGTTGAAGGCCGTACGGTGACCTATAGTTGTTAATTTCTGTGTCATTTGGTCTCTTGTGGAGAGTTGTCTCATTTGCAATCATACCACATCTTATTTTTTATATATACCTAATGATTTTCTGAGAGGGTATGTGCATGATGGGGCCGAATGCATTAACTTTAAGCCCCGTCCTTTAAAGTTTGAAATGTCCTATAACTCTATGAAGCCCACATCCTTCAAAATTTATCGTGACCACAATTCCTTCAGGCAAGCCCCAATTTTCAAACAATTTCCATGGAAAACCCTGGACAAGTAATAATTTGTAAAAGCATAACTTATGACTTACCCATATTTTCAAGATCCACAATTCTAACTAGTTCTCCAGAATGTTTGTCGTGCACCAAGTCACTTTTTATCCTTATTTCGTCCAACAAAAAGCCAACCAATTTCTTCCAATCATCAGTATAGACTTTTAACTCTTGTAATTCATTTGCTTAATGTTCAAGTATCTCTGGTTGGAATCCTACACCCTTATTTATTCAATGTTATAGTCGTAAAGTGTTCTTTCACTTGGTGGGTTTACAAATTTCAAATGTCTTAAAGCAGCATAAGTTGTACAAAATTTTCGTCTAAGCAATGTTCACCACTTGATCATCAAGGGATGTCAACGCATTCCACTTTTGTTCTTTAATCGGATGTATTTAAGTTAAAAAAAAGAATAAAGACAAATAAATTGTCATTCTAAGCTGATGAAAACTTGTCGATTACCTCTTCTTCTAATACTGGATACGCGAATGTACATTATTACATTTATAAGTTATGATCCAAAAATATAAATTTTTAGACACTGTTAAAATAAACTGTTGAAACAGGTGTATATCTCTGTTATATGCATCTTTGATAGTTTAACGCTGCCGTCGGAACAGCTACGTAAGGCTCGCTCTTTGACTCCGTCAATTTGAGACAAAAATGTATTTGCTGTTATACATGTAAATATTCGTTGTTGGGTTGCCGTCTCATTGATAAACCAAACATGTATAAATTCTGGAAAAACTTCAAAAATTCAATATAGGGTAAAGCAATTTATCTCTACTTTACATTATATATTCGGTAAAAAAAACATCAAACATGCAATACAGGGTAGAGCAAATGTTCATTAATTAATGGGATTTTTGTCCATAAGTGGCAGTTTAGAAATTTAGCAAATTTGGTCAAGATACGATGAGTAATTTGAAAGACTGCTACAATTTTCTTTGGTCATAAAATTTAACTACATGAAATGTTTTGTACAATTACGATACATAACTTTACATATCCATTTGTCATATTTGATATAAATCTACACATTTAGACTTTTTCCTTGAAATTACTACTGATGGTAGGTGTAACACCAAAATTTATGACAAACGCGATGACTTTAATTTTCCTATAGCCAACTTTAGTATATACGGTTCACTACTGACCCCCTACGGACCATACAGGGTGAATGAAATCTATAGGAAATTTGGCCCTCGGCCTTCAACCCCTATAGATTTTACTAACACTCTATGGATCCGTAGTGGGTCAGTAAAGAACCATATAACTTGTATTATGTTTTGACTTGTAATATGAATGATATGTTTATTGTTATAAATGGATTTTTTTGTTTCACTATAAATCATTCGAAATACTACAGATTTTCTATCCCAGGTAAACATGACCTTAGTCGTATCTTTTGTAATTTGTGGTTCTCGATGCACTTCAACTTTGTACTGGATTTGTCTTTTAACTATTTTGACTTGAGGGACACTGATGGGTGTTGTATAGACGAAACTCGCGTCTGGTGTACAAAATTATATACCAGATACCTTTAATAAATATTTGAACTTATTAAAACATACATGAAAAAATAATAATAAAAGACTTCTGACCCCTATACATTTTTTATATCTACTCGAAGAATTTATGGTTACAACTGGAAATGGAAAGACTGTGAAATTTTACAACACAGAGACACTAAAGGCAACTTATACAATTGAGCTACCAGACTCTGATTTAAGGGATGCAGACTATAAAGTGAGTATGTTTGTATTTGTGATGCAGACTATAAAGTGAGTATGTTTATATTTGTGATGCAGACTATAAAGTGAGTATGTTTATATTAGTGATGCAGACTATACAGAGATTATGTTTATATTAGTGATTCAGACTGTAAATTGAGTATGTTTTTAATTAGTAATGCAGACTATAAAGTGAGTATGTTTAAATTTGTGATGCAGACTATAAAGTGAGTATGTTTATATTTGTGATGCAGACTATAAAGTGAGTAAGTTTATAATTGTGATGCAGACTATAAAGTGAGTAAGTTTATATTTGTGATGCAGACTATAAAGTGAGTGTGTTTACATTTGTGATGCATATTATAAAGTGAGTGTGTTTACATTTGTGATGCATATTATAAAGTTAGTAAGTTTATATTAGTGATGCAGACTATAAATTGAGTATGTTTTTAATTAGTGATGCAGACTATAGAGTGAGTAAGTTTATATTAGTGATGCAGACTATAAATTGAGTATGTTTATATTTGTGATGTAGACTATAAATTGAGTATGTTTATATTTGTGATGCATACTATAAAGTGAGTATGTTTATATTAGTGATGCAGACTTAAAAGTGAGTATGTTTATATTAGTGATGTAAACTATAAATTGAGTATGTTTATATTTGTGATGCATACTATAAAGTAAGTAAGTTTATATTTGTGATGCATACTATAAAGTGAGAATATTTATATTAGTGATGCAGACTATAAGTTTATATTAGTGAAAAGCAAAATCACAAAAATACCGAACTCCGAGGAAAATTCAACACGGAAAGTCCCTAATCAAACGGCAAAATCAAGAGCTCAAACACATCAAACGAATGGATAACAACTGCCATATTCCTGCCTTCGTACAGGCATTTTCTTATGTAGAAAATTGTGGATTTAACCTTGTTTATAGCTAGATAAATCTCTCACTTGTATGACAGTCGCATGAAATTCCATTATATTGACAAATATGTGTGAACGAAACAAACAGGCACATAAGTAAAAATGTCAAAAATTATGGTATATCAGTCAACATTGTTTTATAATCTTAATGACTATAAAAACAAACAAATATAGAAACATAGTTGGTTAAATCTGATTTTAAGGCATACCGATACTTAAAAGCTTGCAATTAAAATCTACATGAAAACCATATCTTTGTTTTAATAGGGTATGTTTTCAATTTTTTTTCAATTCTTTGTTTATTGATATTAATTTCGCAAATATAATCAACATCACGATTTAGAAGTTTAAGCTCCTATAGTTATGATATAGTTATGTGTACACTGTGTTATCTTAAATGCAACTTATACTTTAACAATTATCAAGTATGAGTGCTTAAGGGAATTTATATATTACAGTAAGGTTAGTAATGACATGTTCTATAAGATACTATAACTGAACATGTGCAATAAGGGCTTTAGTTAACCTTTTTTAAGTGGAAGGAGAAGGTATGATAAGTCCACTTTTTTGGTCTCTTGAATTAAAAAATCAATAAAGTGTCATATTTTTACCAAATTACATCCTACAGGTGATCATAAGACATAAGTCTGTCAGGTATCAGTGTTTTTTGTATTGAAGTTTTTGGTTTACATTTGTAGCTCACCGTTCCTAAAATGTGAGCCTTGACATCATTTGATGTCCGTCGTCTGTCTGTCCGTCCGTCCGTCCGTTGAAAATTATTTCAAACATTTTCTCATCTAACACTACTGAACCAATTTCAACCAAACCGTAGCTGAATGATATTCAGGGTATCTGGAATAAATATTGTGTTTTCTTATCTGTTTCTTAAAAAAACATGACCGCTATGGTTAAATATAAAACATTAGTTAAAATGCATTGTTTGGGTTAAATCACAAAAACTAAAGCATTTAGAGCAAATCTAGCATGGTGTTAAAGTATTTATAAGTGGTATCAATTACTTTTGGAGTCAAAAATTCGTTGGAAGTACTATTGCATGCTTATGTTGGTGATTTTGAATCTGTTCAAAGTTTTGATTTTTCTTCCCTTAATTCTTATTTGCCTCATAACCTTACTTAGAAGAAAATTCACATACCTAATCAAATGGGCATTTAAAAAGTCAAAATACGAATATATATGTTCAAACTCTTTTCGGATATTTTTTAGTAACGACAGACAAAAGAACGATGTAAATTGGACCTGCTTTGATATGCCAACTGCAATTGAATTTTCACTAGACAACATTTTCGTTCGCAAAGGAGACTTTGTATATCGCCAAGGTATCGGAATTCCAATGGGCACTAACTATGCACCACTTATTGCAGATTTATTTCTGTATTCTTACGAACCCAATTTCAAAGCAAATCAGCAAAGACCTATCGAAACAACATCTAGTACAACAATTTAATAACACCTTTAGATATTTGGATGATATTTTGGCTTTCTTCTTCTTTTTTGTATAGGCTTCCTATAGCCAGGAACACCTCAGATACTATTAGAGTATAATGATGACTTCAGTATATTAACAAAAGATATTTTACCTTATTGAGGTTACGTTAAAAAAAAGCCAATACTAACAACGATAACTGCCCATTTCTGGATCTTGATATATTCATCTAAAATTGAAAACTTAATACTTAAATTTATGATAAAAGAGATGATTTCTCATTTTCTATTGTTAACTTTCAATTCTTAGACGGGGATGTTCCCTTGACACCATCGTAAAGTGTTTATGTGTCTCAACTTGTTAGATTCGCTCTTATATGTAACAACGTATTCGATTTTCACGAAAGATATCTCTGTATAACTGAAAAATTATTACACCAGGGTTTTCGATATCAAAAAGGGACTCGGTGGCCGAGTGGTCTAAGTAGTTACTACTGTAATCACTAGCCAGTCAACACTGAAGTTGTGAGTTCGAACCCCGCTTGTGCGTGTGCACTCGACTCCAATCTTAATTGACTAGGATTGTCAGTTTTCCTATCGAAGGTCGGTGGTTTTCTCCGGGCACTCGGGCTTCCTCCACTAATAAAAACTGGCCGCCACGAAATAGCCCAAAAGCGGTGCTTAAAATTGGCGTTAAAATTGGCGTTAAAACAAAAAAATCAAAATCGATATCAACAAATTTTATCATCGTCACATGCAGACATCTTATACGTTCAGGAATTTCACATCCCATGATTTATGGTGTTATTCTATACAAAGCTCAGAAATTTAGCCATTCACCCGAAAAGCTTACAAAACCTTTAAATAGACTTATCTGCAAGCAATACAGCTACCAAATTATGTCAAGTCATTTAAAATGTCATTTTTGGAATTAATGTTGACATTTTCATAGGGTATTTGCATAAAAAATGAAGATATACTTTTTAACAATAGACATAAATGTATTTTTAATTATTTTGAACGAACCGTATGTTGTGTATAAGCGACAATATACTAAACGACACAAGTATTGCCTCGTAATTGCATTTCTTTGGATTTGGTATATAAATAAAGGCAACAGTAGTATACCGCTGTTCAATGTTATAATTCCATAAGGCGAATGCAACTGCAGGTAACAAACCAAAACCGAGGGAAACAAATCAACTATAAAAGGAAAACGAAGGAACAACAGAAACATTGAACTACAACAAACGTACACATACATGATACGGACTGTCTGTTAACAACTGCCATATTCCTGACTTGGTAAAGGACATTTTTAAGAAAAAATGGTGGGTTGAACCTTGTTTTATGTCTAGCCAAACCTCCCGCTTCTATGGCAATGTTATCAATACCGCTAAAATGACAACACTGCGTGACAGTATAAACAAACACAAGCACACCCAGCACAGAGAAATACAAAAGCTAACAATATACTAGCAAATCACAACATGTAAACAGCAGAAGAACAATGGACACCTTTCACGAATCCACGACGTACATCACACCACATATGAAATAGAAACAGCGTCACAACGTCACTATTTTCAACGTAACTATTTGTGACGTATTACAGTCAAATTCACCAAAAAAAAAGATTAAGACGTTGCACGTACAGGAAATTTAATTTGTAATGGTGTATTCTATATTGTCTAACTATGACAAGAATATTAAAATGAGATTTCGTTTGCAGTGGTGTCATCATTTACATCCTCTAACCAGGTCAGTTTTTCTGCTAAATCAAAACTGTGTAAACGAACTGTTGCATATAGTTACTTTAAACTTAAATTAAATAAATGAAATAGGTGATAGTTTTATCTGAACTTATATATACATATAGAAAATAATTATAAAATAACGGTACAGAATTCAAACCACAAACATAAAGAACACAAACCAAATAAACAGACAAATTAACAACTAAGCACAAAATGACCAACCGGACCCACACGTAAAAGAAATTAATAAAAAAATGCATGCAAGTTGGATATATAAATACCAAATCATGTCGTATCCAACAGCGAACACTAGACATAACAAAATATCCAACCGGACTTACAAAAGAAACAATCATAACTAAATACATGGATGTTGGATATATAAATACCGAGACATGTCGTCAAGCAATGCAAATTCACACTGGAATAAACAGTCATATTCGGGAATAAGTCACTTTCGGTACGAAGCAGAGCAGACGACATAGATGGTAAACCACGATCAAAAACGTGGTAAAAATATTGTTCGTTAGTTTAGACACAGACACATCGTATAGATAAACCAATTCGTGATGGTGTTCATAAAATTTACGGATTTTCATTTTCAATCTTTCCTCCTCATAACTCTGTTAAGACAGTTTCTGCATAAGGAGCACACTTCTGTATATGAAGTCCGTATAGTGTGAACATGCATACTTGTTCATGGGACCTCTGCTTCTGGACTTAACACTTTATAACAGTATGACTTAATATGTAAACAAGGGTATTTGACCATTTCCTTATTCTATGAAATACTCTCATCACAAGTTGACGAATCGTATGTTACGGTGCAAAACTAACAACGACAAAATTATTTTGAAATTTACCTGTGGTCTGTAACGAGTTTT